CCAAATAATCCAATTTAAAAATGGTCAAAGGAGCTGAATTTTTCAAAAGACATACTAATGGCCAACAAGTATATAAAAAAATGTCCAACATCACTAATCTTCAGTGCAAATCAAAAACAGAGATATCATCTCACCCCAGTTAGACTGGCTATTATTAAAAAGACAAAACAAAAAATGCTGATGAGGATGCAGAGAAATTCATACAGATTTAGTGGGATTGAATGGCCCTTATGGAAAACAGTATGGAGGTTTCTCAAACGTCTAGAGATAGAACTACCATATGATCCAGCAATCCCACTTCTGGGTATATACCCAAAAGAATGGAAATCACCATGTCAAAGGGATAACTGCACTCCCATGTTCATTGCAGCTCTGTTTACAATAACCAAGAGCTGGAACCAAATTGAATGTCCATCAACGGATGACAGGATAAGAAAAATGTAGTATATATACAAAATAGAATACTACTCAGCCATAAAAAAGAATGAAATTCTGGAATTCACAGCAGTGTGGATGAGCTTGGAGAAAATTAGGTTAGGCAAAATAAGCCAGGCACAGAAAGAGAAATACCCCATGTTCTCATTCATATGTGGAAACAAACAAAACAAATAAATAATAAGTTGAACTTTTATTTTTTTTTTTATTTTTTATTTTTTTTGTCTTTTGTCCTTTTTCCGTGTCCGGCAACGGATCGCAACCCTCAGTGTTGCCCCCGCACCGGACCGGGGACCGGCAACGGGATCGCAAGCCTCGGCGTTGCTCCCGCGCCTCGCTCAGCCAGCGAGGGGGAGCCAGTCTGTATGTGGGATCCGACCCCCCGGACGGGAGCGCCGCCGCGCTTCCCAAGCGGCGCACTATCCAGTGTGCCACCGGCCGGCCCCTGCTCTCTGTTTCTAAAAGTTCAACTTATGGGGCCGGCCCGGTGGCGCACTGGATGGTGCGCCGCTTGGGAAGCGCGGCGGCGCTCCCGTCCGAGGGTTCGGATCCCACATACAGACTGGCTCCCGCTCGCTGGCTGAGGGAGGCGCGGGAGCAACGCCGAGGCTTGCGATCCCGTTGCCGGTCCCCGGGCCGGGGCGGGGGCAACACTGAGGGTTGCGATCCGTTGCCGGACACGGAAAAAGACAAAAGACAAAAAAAAAAAAAAAAAAAAAAAAAAAAAAAAAAAAAAAAAAGAAACAGAGAGCAGAACTGTGATTACTATAGATGGAACAGGGAGAAGGCAAGGGAGATAGTGAGAGGTTGGTTAACAGACATAAAATTACAGCTAGACAGAAAAAATAATTTCTATTGTTGCGGTACAGTAGTGCTAAGCATCTATAATTAACAAAAACTTATTGTATGTTTTCAAATGGCTAAAAGAGAGGAGCTTAAATGTTCTCATCACAAAGAAACAATAAATTTCTGCAATGAAGAATTTGCTAACTACCCTGATTTGATCACTACATACTGCATACATGTACTGAAATATAACTCTGTACTCCAAAAATATGTACAATCAATATGTTTCAATTAAATTTTTTTAAAAGTTGTACTTTATAGCCTGTGACACACAAAAAAAGTCTTCCCTTCTCACACACACTCCAACCCCAACCCCCAGCAATGTAGATCAGGAGGCCCCTGTCATAGTCTTTCACTGCAACCTTACTTTTTTCCTACTATCTATCAGTTTTTAATTACAGCTTTATTTTTATGACTGTTTATTGTCTGTCTCACTTATAAGACTAAGAGCTTCATGAAGGCAGAGTCTATGTCTTTTTATTTACCCTATAAGCTCTAGTACCAAGCCAGACACATGAGTACTAATGAATGAACTTCATGGAGAAAAATTACCACCAGTAGAATTTTAGTGCACTGCCAATAAAAATAAGCATGAATTAGACTTTCAATATCTGTTTATTTCCCTGGTGCCAGATACATACATGAACAATCAGGAGTTTAATAAAATGCTGAAAGAAATATAATATTAGCCAGATTATTGTCAATATATATTTACATTTCTCCACTGGGCCTCAGTGAGCTCAGCATCCCCTTTTAACTCTCTCTAGTCACCTTTTTCGCCACATTCCTATTATTCCAACGCTTGCCCATTTCTACCAGCAGAAAATTTCATTCAAATATCTATTCATTAAACAAATACTTACTGAGCCTTTACTATATTCCAAGTACTCAATATACAGCAGTGACCAAAAATAAATTCCCTGTTCCCAAAGCACTTATATTCTAGAAATAAATACTTAAATTTATGAAGTGGTAAGTACTATGTAGGAAAAGCCAGCAGGTAAGGGGACAGAGTGACACAAAAAAACTTTGATTTTTAAAAATTTGAAGCAAGACTGGAAGACATGGGAGGTTTTTTGAGCAGAGGAGTGGTATGATCCAACTTAAGTTAGAAAATAACTGCTACAGCACCTGTATAAGGAACATAGACTAGAAATGGGGGTGAGGGGCAAAAGCAGAAGCAAGGAAATAGTCTGAAGACTATTACAACAGCCCAAGGCAGAGATGATGGTGGCTTGGAAGTAGTAAGAAGTGATCACATTCTGGATATATTCTGAATGCAGAACTATTAGGATTTGCTGATGAGCTAATGGTGCAGTATGAGACAGAGAAAAAAAAATCAAGGATGACGCCTCTTTGGACCCAGGTGAGTACAAGGATAGAACTGCCATTTACTCCTATTAACGAGGGATCTATGGCTGGAACAGTGAGAGACTAGAACATGTTGCTGCGGCCAGAAGTAAATAAAAATGATGGAGACATGTCAAAAGGACACAGGAACCAGCTTAAAGAAGCTCCCCCTGCCCAAATTTGGAACAATGTAAGCATCAAAAGAAATACTAATAGCAATGGATTATAACCCATAAAATAAGCATCTACGAGTCTAAACTAAGTGAATAAATAAGTGGCAAGAAGAAAAAGCTCTTCCTTAATAGTAGAATACCAACTAATAAATGTAATAAAAATGAAGGAATTAGAAAATCATGTTTGGCACCCAACAAAGTAAATGCTTCAGGCAAGAATCATCACTGGATGCTAAATCTCGTGGGTAAAAGTTTGATGAGAAACAGGATATTTGCCGGATATCAAAGTATACCCCCATAAGATACTTAAATATAGAAAGAATGTAATAATTTTGCCAAGAAGAAACATGGCAGAATACCAAATGATCAAAGTTAACATCACTTGCAATGACACAAAGAGATATTACATGCCTAGTGATATGATGCACTGAGGAGGACACACCACCTCTGTGGTATTTTCTAACCATGATGAAACACAAGACAAGCCCAAAGTGATAGATATTCTAGGAAATACATGCCTCACATACTTCACAACTGTCAAGGTCATGAGAGGTAAAGGCTGAAGAACTGTTCCAGATTACAAGGAAATTAGAGACATGACAACTAAATGAAACACATGACCTTGGACGATAGTGAACCAGGAAAAGTTCTTTTTTCCTTTTGTTATAGAGAACATTAGTGATACAACCAGTGAAATTTGAATAAAGTCTGGGCCGGCCCGTGGCTCACTCGGGAGAGTGCAGTGCTGATAACACCAAGGCCCTGGGTTCGGATCCCACATAGGGATGGCCGGTTCGCTCACTGGCTGAGCATGGTGCTGACAACACCAAGTCAAGGGTTAAGATCCCCTTACCGGTCATCTTTAAAAAAAAAAATTTGAATAAAGTCGTTAGATAAGATAATAATGCTTTATCTGAGTTAAATTCCTTATTTGATAATTGGACCATGGCCACATACAAGAATGCCCTTGTTTTTAGGAAATATACACCAATAATTAGGAGTAAAGGGATATTATTAGCATTATGTCTGCAACTTACTCAGGGAAAAAAAGTTCTTCCAGTTACGAAGAAAGTAACTACTCTCACTGAACTCCATGTACGTTTCTACTGTAGTACTTATAATACTTTGTTTTACTTATTAGTAGAAAAGGAAATGGGCCGTGAGAGGATAAGCAACTTGCCCAAAGTAGAAATTAGTACATGACAGAAGGTCCCTCTGACTCAAAGCCAATACTTTGTTAAGTAAATAATATGGTTGAATGCTGAGTAAATGCTTGCTGCTTTTATTTTTCGAAAGTTCTCCCATAATGACAGACATAAAAAGTCTATTCACCAATGGGTCTCTTAATCCAAAGAGTTTTACCTATAAAACTGGAATCCCCAGCATCAGATCTTATAAATTCTTACTTTTGAGATAAGAAACAGAGGACTCAACCTGGCTTACATGATGAATTGGTTGGTGGCAAAGAAGGAAAAGACAAAAGATAAATGAACATAAACTAGAAGAGCCTTTATGATCTAGCCCCTGCAGACTTTTCCAACCTCACCTCTTGTCATTCTCTACACCCTATGTTCATTATCTTCAATCACTCTAATTCCCACAATTAAGCATTGTCCCTTACCTTCAAGTCTGTTGCATCTTCACTTCTGTTCCTTCTGATTATATGGAACCCCATTCCCTGACATCCTGAAAGACTCTTACATATCCTTTAAGATCCCTCAATTAATCCTCCTTTGACCTCTTCAGGCAGTGGTAGAGGATTGCTTCCCTATTCTCCCAAAACACTGTGTATTCTATAATTGAACTTTTCACATTAATAAAATTACTTACTTAAAAGTCTCTCCTGGGCTATACTTGAGGGGAGGAATTCTGTTATTCACTTTAGCATCTCCAGCATCTGGCACATACGTAAACACATAATCCTAAACTCTTCTTCATATAATAAGAGAGAAAATAAATAAACCAAGCTCATTTAATACTGGTAGTCAAAGCAATGTGTTTATCTGCAAAACCAAAGCAGTTATCATTGGTTTGAAAAGAATACCCCAGCCTGAAGAACTGCATATATACATGGAAACCTATTCTCAGACTAGATGGACAAATTGCTGTTTCTGCTTTACCCACAATATAATTAATCCTCTGTTTCTCATCCATGAACAAGCTGCTTGATTGTTGAACCTGAATACCCAGCTTTACCTGCAGTGCTTGTTCTTGGATATCACGAAATAATTCCATATCTTTCTCAGTCATGACTTCCTGGTTCCCAAAAAGCCGCTCCTCGCTTTCTTGCTTGCCATCCCAGCTATCCTGATTGTCTGCAACATAAAGAAAGGGCTCCCATGTTATTTGTATTATCCTTGGTTTAAAATGTGAACTAGAAAAAAATTTCAACAGTCTTTATTTCAATTTGAAGACCTTAATATTACTTATAGAACAAAGAAGAGGACAGCATTAAACAGACTCCTAGAAAGACACTACTCAATAAAGAATATTTACATATTATATCTGCCTTATAGTGAAAATCCTGAATTGTCTTAAAGTTTTCTAAAAATACTACATAATTAAATTTAAACTTCATTTAAAAAGATCATATTTTAATACAAAGAAAAGCAGAAGAGGAAAAGGGTCTAAGGAGTATAAAATTTATTTTGAAATAGTATGAATATGACACTTTTAGTATGAGTTAACTCATCAATGTTTAAAAAGATAATCTTTGAATTAGCTACCTTAACTGATGTCAGGAAGTACTAACTCCCCTCACATTCTGGGTGCCCTTTAAAAGCACAAACTTCACAACCCTGAGGATCATAGATGATAATCCTCTGTGTATGAGAATTTATGATAATTATCCACTAAATGACGGACCTTCCTCAACTGGGCAAAAAAAAAAAATAGTGAAGGGAGTATGTAGGGATTATGCAGTTCCTTATCCTTTACATTTGAAGACAACACTGCTGATGGCCTCATTTCCTCTTTGTATGAGTATGGCTCTAAAGACCAATCAGTGACAGTTCTTTTCAAGTCAACTGCACATACAGCCAGTTACTATTTAGTATAGGAAGGGAAAATGACAAGGACTCACTGTTGACAATATATCCCAACTGGAAAAAAAAGTACAATCTTTGTTTTTTTTTTTTTCTTTTTGTCCTTTTTGAGACCGGCCGCACCACGCTCAGCCAGTGAGCACTGTGAGCAAACTGGTCATCCCTATATAGGATCCGAACCCGCGGCGGGAGCGCTGCTGCACTCCCAGCGCCACTGCGCTCCCAGCGCCGCGCTCTCCCAAGTGCGCCACGGGCTTGGCCCAAAAAGTACAATCTTAAAGGTTCTATATAACTCTAATGCCTCCTAGCGCATGACACAGATGGATACTGGCACACACAATACCGCATTCAGCAGCACTGTATCAGATGATGTGCGATTTGTGTTTTAAACTCTACAATTCATAAAGAAACTTACAGTCTATTAAAGCAAATGCTCACACCAGTGCCTAAAGTTCAACATTTGTTCTCCATATACTTTATACATTTTCTCTAACAATTTCTATTTCTAAAACTTTCCAGTAGGTTCTTCTAATAATCCATTTCCAGTGCAAATGGTTAATTCAAAAATGACTATTAGGATTTGGTTTGAGATTTTTTTCCTTTTAAATCCAATCGAAATGGACTGCATATTTTCTTAGATAAATGTAGCTCAGACTGGAGCTTATCTATAGTCTACATGGCTGATAAAGAAATGAAAAGTCTTGATGCTTGAAGAGTAATTAGTTGATTGACACTTTGGTGAAAAACCAATCAATAAAGTACAAAAGGGGGAATCTAACAGTGATAAGGATTTCTTTTCTCCTGCACTGGACCACTCAACCACGTATATAAGCAGAAATGAAGAAGGGGTGAGTACAACCACTTACCAATTAGGACATTCAGAGGAGATCACAGTTAAGAAACTCTCTTGCAGTAGACGAGACACTATGACTTTGGCCCTTTTGATCCAAAATAGCTCATTCTCATGCTTCTACTTTTCTCAGAGCCCTTTCTACTTCCTTCACAGGGTTAGGCTCTCTAAACTGAAGGCTCAACAATGAGGTTATTTTAAGCTTTAATTATGGGGACAGCTAATCAAATTCTTCTCCTCTGACTAGAATTATCTGCTACACTATTAAGTCCTCTCCACAGATGTTTTCTTCTTTGAAAACTAGGGAACTTAGCCCGATATATAAGCAAATAGTGTGGAGCTGTGGTTTTCTCTCTTTTTAAATGTAATCCATGAAAACTTACAATTAGGAGGGTACTTCGAAAAGTTTATGGAAAAACAGAATTCAACAATAATATGAGATTTTCCATGAACTTTCTGAAGTATCCATGTATATTTGCTAAGACCTGAAGTAGAAAAATCAATGACTTATCACATTTTGGTCTTTTCTTTATGTTAGATCAACAGCATTTTATCTGCCTCTACTCTTTCTAATTCCTTCTGAGAATAAAGCAAACATCATGACGCTCATCCCAGGACTTATTTCGTAATTTAGGAGATATAAAGTTATCCTTGATTCAAGGTTACATCCCAAATTTCTGTGAGCAGATTCTTTGTGGTTCTGCCAACAAAGAAGCTTCCTTTTGCCTAAGAGCTCCTACTGGTCCATTCTACAACTTTATCACTAGCCTCTAAATTCCTGCCATAATTATCACCGTAGTTTCACCTAAATATGTATTTTTAATATGTTTTTATATTCCATAACTAATTTTTTATAATCAAATATAAATCTATTCTAGATAACTAGTGTTATTCTAAATAACACACTTTTGGAAAACTTTTGTTTATAAGTTTGTTTCAGACCTTTACCTGTAGGCCAATCTGAAGTGCTTGATTTTCTGTTGCCCTTTTTCCTGATTCTGTATTGCTCAGAGTAGTCTACCACTTCTCCTCGAGCTTTCCGCCCATCAGGGGAAGGGGTGAAGAATTTGGTAAGGCCATCAATGAGCCCTTTGGTTTTCTTGTTGAACTTCAAGGGGACGCTGCTATCTCTGCAGAAGTCCAAGCCATCTATTCTCTCTAAACAGCCTTCTTCTGATGATGATGCTGACTGGCTGGAAAGAGTGATTTTACGTTTCCGACCCCTTCCAGGGCCAGTTCGAACTTTGCTGAAGGAATCTTTTGATCTAAAGAATCAAATTGGGGGGAAAGTAATCATTAAAAAGAAATCCTTATAAGGTTTCTATTTAATATATAACATAATTTAGAAAATAACCTATAGCTTTATTTAAAAATCTATATTGTTAAGAATTTTTTGTACACTATAAATATTACTATATATGAATGAGAAGTAATATTATTAGAAACATCTATTTCTGCAAAGCCTAGTTATTTACAGTGAAAAAAACCCTGGGCCACAAGTCAGAAAACATGTTTGAGTCATAATTCTGCTGTATGTCTTGGACAAATCACATTTTCTCTAAACATCAGTGTCTTCATCTGTAAAATGAGAGTTGGACTGGAAAACAAATAAGATCCTCCCAGGTATAAAGTTCTATTATACTGTGATTTCTGCACCAACTCTGAATTATACTTTTACTTCTAAACAAAAGAATGAGTTACTCTCTGAAAGTCAGGAACCTATAGATCATTTTATAGGAAAATTAAAGCTTAAGACAAAAATATAGACTCCAATACTGGTTCTGCATATTTCAGGCTGCTAATGCCAAATCATTTCACTTACACTACGTTCAAGATAGTCTTAAGTGCAGAAAAGGTGGGTAAAATTTTTGAGAATTCCCAAAAGAGGTTTACAGGCCTGAAGATATTTTACATATCATCAAAGGTGAATTACTATAGAGATATTCAACAAAAGACAGAATCTGGTACTGAATCTTGCCCCACCTCCTCCAGACAGCCCAGTTTCCTAGTCCACAATTTCTGATTTCTGCTAATAGATGGAAATACTCGAATTACTTTACCTCAGGAGAATACAAAAATGGGACTTAGCTATACCCAAAAGGAAGAACCTATAAAGTGATATGTATACTTAATAAATAACTGAGACTAGATCAGAGGATAAACCTGTAAAATGTTACAACAAAATCAAATTTTCTTTCCTGTCTTTTACATAAGAGAAGCAACAGAAGACTCTGGTGTCAGACTACTTGGATTTAATCCCAGTTCAACACTAACTATATAATCTCGTACAAGTTAATCTTCCTATACCTTAGTTTCTTCCTCTGAAAAACAAAAGTTAACAACAGTACCCATGCTTCACTGGGTTGCTGGGAGAATTAAATAATTTAACACATGTAAAGCATTTAGAACTGTGCCTGGCATTTTTTTAAAGGTTCAATAAGTGTCAGCCATAATTATTATATAAAAGTGCCAGTTATAACAATGGACATTTTTTTCCATAAGGAAAACAAGTGAATCCTACACTATGGAGAAGACCCTACCCTTTTCTCCCCTCACCTTGCCACAAGTACAACTTACACCGTGTTTTGTTTCTTTAACCTGTTTTTTGGACGTCCTATTGGATTAGCATAGCGCCGTTTTATCTGTGCTGCCTTCTTTTGTAGAAGTTTTCGTCCTTTTTTCCTAGGTCGACATATTTGACATATCCACATGCCTATAAAGTAAGAAAATCCCATACAAAAATATGATAAACAAAAATATACTAAAGATTTCAGATAGTCCAAGTCCATTAACCTCTTTCAAATCAAGAACTGTCATTTAAAAATCTGGTGAAAGTGCCCCCCCCCCAAATAAAAGTGAAAACATACACATAAAATTCTACAAATAATTGGAAAGGATTCACATATACCCTGAAGCCCACACATGGATAAAGTCCACTGATCTTCAGTTAAAAACACCTGCTCTCTAGCACACAGATACTGGTGTCTAATTACCCCCCTCAAAAAAAAAAAAAAAGCCAGTTTTCAACAGAGCACTGGTTGATTACAGGTCAGGGAAAATAAAAGATAAACTGGAACATCTTGTAGTGCCAGAAAATAAAGGAAGTGCTCAAAAAATGAGAGCGGTATATGGAAAGAACACAGGAGCCAATTAGAAGGAGTTCCCAATAGCCAAATCCAGGGCAATTTGAGCAAAAAAATTAATTACAGCAATGGATTATAACCCATAGAATAAAATAAATATCCATGAGTCCATAATGATATAAATAATGGGAAAATAAGTGGGAGAAATAAATAAATGGGAGAAAGGGATAGCTCTTCTTTACAGCAAAATTCTAGTTAATGAATATAGAAAGAATGATGGAAATAGAAAATCACCATTATGCAAACACCACAGTAATAATTGGTGCAGGCAAAAATCACTGACGGATGCTAAAATTAGTGTACTAAGAGGAAAAAGAGTAACTTTAACGTGTCTGCATTTTTCTTCACTGTAATCAAATGATCAAAATTAACACTACTATTAGTGTTAAGACACATCACTATTATGTACCCCTGTTATGATGCACTGAGAAGGGCAGAACTTCACTTCTGTGGTATTCCTATCAAAATTCACAACCTTAATCTAATCATGAGAAAGCAACAGAATCCCAAATTGAGGGGCTTTCTACAAAATAAACGACCAGTAGTTTTCAAAAGTGTCTGGGTCAGGAAAGACAAAGTCTGGGCCGACCCCGTGGCTCACTCGGGAGAGTGCAGCGCTGAGAGCACAGCGGCGCTCCCGCCGCGGGTTCGGATCCTACATAGGGATAGCTGGTGCGCTCACTGGCTGAGTACGGTGCGGGCGACACCGAGCCAAGGGTTGCGATCCCCTTACCGGTCACAAAAAAAAAAAAAAAAAGACAAAGTCTGAGGAATTATCACAGACTGGAGGAGTCTAAGGAAATACAACAACTAAATGTGATGTGAGATCCTGGACTTTATCCTGGACCAGAAATTCAAATAAGGTGTGTAGATTAGTTAATAGTATTACATCAACGTTAATTTCCTGGTTTCAATAACTGTACAATGGTTTTGTAAAATAATAACATGAGGAGAAGTTGGGGATACAATGAGAGCTCTCTACTATTTCTGCCACTTTTCTGTGAGTCTGAAATAATTTCAAAATAAAATGTTTCTCGCTTTAAGCTGCTATAAAACCTCTTTTGTAGAAGTTAAATACACAGGAAAGAAGTCCTAAGAAAATCTCTCTTCTCTTGAAGGATTCTCAGAAGGCCTCTTGCACAAACTTCAAATAAATGGAAAAAGCAGGAAAAGGTGGGTATTTATTCTTCCAATATATGTAAATTTAAGACTTCTCAAAAGTTAACAATCAACAGAATGGCATAAAACTAATTCAAGTAAGATCTAAAAGTGGATAATTTGACTATAACCTACGGTTGAGTCCTTTTCCAGCAAAAAGAAAAGTTTCGCCAAGCAGATATCATCAAATATCCTATAGACATTTTACATAGGAAATCTATATATCACAAAATCAGAGCTGGGATGGAATCTGTGATAAGACAAAATGGGGTGACTAAATCTTTTTTTAAAGAAACTATAAGCATATGATAAGATGGTATTCTGTGAAAGTCCAACCAAAAGGCAATTATATCCCAACTGTTCCTTTCAAGGAACAGGAATCAGGAAAACAGAATAATATTAAGCTGTATGATTTGGACAATTATTTGTTCACAACTTATTTATTAACAGGTTTTTTTTTTTTTTAAGTTTTGAATATAACAGATCTCTACAGCTCTAGGCCCCTCAAAAGTGCTAAGCAGTAATATAATCAACATGACTTTTCCAATCTCATTTCCTCCTTTAAAGAAAGAGATACTTCTGTACAAGAGAAGAGATTTCAAGATATTATTTAAGTATTTTGTTCTCTAGTGAGAGACTGGCAAGTATTCATAAATGAACCACTTCACCCTTCATGATTGCTTAAATATTGAAAATGGAGGAAAATAATAATAAATCTATACCATACAAGAATGTTAAGATGCCTAAACAGAAAGACAATTCCCACCTTTAAGGTGACAGCTCTCTTTCTACTTACACAATGCCAAAAAGAAAGATCCAATTATTCTTCCTTTTTAACAAAGTAGACAAAACATGCTTTTACTAACACATTTGTTTTTATTCTGTTTGATTTCAGAAAGTATTCTCACCTTTTGGCATCCGGGTGAGTGGAGGATCACAACACTCCATGTGAAAACCTCGGTCACATGAATCACAAAAGAGCATGTTATCCTTAAAAAAAAGAAAGGAAAGAAAAGAAAGGACAGTTCTGCTTAACCTTATGAAACAGAAGCATGTCAGGATCATGACCTCCTAAAATCTAGGAAGTTTCAAAGATCTCAAAAAGAGATGAGTTACCATAAAATTAAGTTTCCTTAATTTGTATTAACCAAGTAAATGGACAGGTTGAGTTAGTAAAAAGTTTTTGCTTCAGCCAATCTTTGATGAAGAACTACAGTTTCATTACTTTCAAGTATATCCAATAACCAGAAATAAGCTAACCATGATGTGTTTTAATAAAAAAGAAAAGGATGATTTGTAATTAGTATACTACCTGACCATTCCTAAATGAATGCCTCCATACTACTCAAGAAATTTCATAAATATTTCCTTAAAGTAGCTTAGTCTCTCTTCAAATATACAATTAAGGTGCTTTACAAATTACCTAAAATTAATCGAAGTCCAAATGAGCAAGTATTCTAAACTAATAACATGTAATTTGAAGAGACTACTTTTCTAAAACAGGCTACTGGACCAAGTGACTGAAAAATAACCAGCCATACTTAAACGGAAGTGCCAGCTGTACACTCCACTTCTAAATGAAATACCCACATTGGAAGGCAAAGACACTCACTGCATTTTTGCCTTGATCTCGACAGGAGCTGCATGTTTTACACTCGATGCACTGCCACCGTAAGGCCTTCACTCTAACCGTTAATTCAGGGGAAAACTTCAAACAGGATGGATGACCTAATAAGAGGGGGAAATTCATGAGTGAAACAATCAAAAATCATTTTGTTATTGTTCTAAAGAAATGATGGAGAAACAATCAATTATCTTAAACACAAAATATACATCAAATAAAACAAGATGTTGTCTACATGTCTCATCAGGACTTGGCACCCCAATTCAGTCTCATTAATGCTAAATAGGATTTAGAACCCCCCCCCATTTGATTATTAAAAATCTGACAAATTCTAAACTTTTATTAAGCCCACATCAAAGCATTATGTTTGTACACATATTGGTATGTATATGAGAACATAATATGATCAGGCCATTTCTGTAGGAACACTCGAAAAGCTGTTTACGTTGGTAACATCCCAGAAAATGAAGGTATAAACATTTTGAAGAAGAATTTTACTTTTCACTTTATACCCTTTTATGCTCTCATTTTAAAAATTATAATATATGTTACTTTCATAATTTAAAAATATAATTGTCCCCCCTTATCCATGGTTTTGCTTTCCACAGTCAACTGCAATCCAAAAATATTAAATGGAAAATTCCAGGAATAAACAATTTATAGGTTTTAAACTGCATGCCATTCTGAGTAGCATGAAGTCCTGCCTGGGACATGAATGGTCCCTTTGTTCCGCACACCCACACAGTATATGCTCACCCTCCCATTAGTCACTTAGTAGCCATCTGGGTTATCAGATCAACCGCCATGGCATCGAGTATTTATGTTCAATTAACACTTATTTTATTTAATAATGTCCCCAAAGCACAAGACTGGTGATACTGGTATTGTTATAATTGTTCTATTTTATTAGTTATTGTTGCTAATCTCTTACTGTGCCTAATTTATAAATTAAGCTTTATCATAAGTATATGTGTATAGGAAAAAACATACTGTATATATGGCTTGGTACTATCTGCAGTTTCAAGTATCCACTATGGTTCCTGCAACATACCCCCTGTGGATAAGGAGGGGAACTACTGTACATAATAAAAATCCCCTCATGATTAAAGGCACTCAAGCTACAACTAAAACTGAAAGAAGTATTTCTATTGTGATCAGAATTAACAGCAACAGAAAATGCTTCCTCTTCCAAGAGACAGTTATCAGTTTGATTCTCAAAAATTTAGAGTAGCCAATTTGCCTTCAACTTTGAAAAGATCTGTCTCCTCTTCTAGAAGTTAGTTATGTTTACTTTTCTTTGGTGAGAGAAAGGGCTGGTTAAATTGTCTTCTCTCCTCTCTTCTGTATTCCTAAAGAATCTTTTATGCAATAGTAAGTTTATCATCAAAACATTACTAACACTGAAGGAAAATGGGAAAGATGTGAAAATTTCATCCATAATCCCATCATCCCGGAATAATAGCCATTTTCATGTTCTACTTTTCTTTTTTAAATTAGCTGAAAGCCCGTGCATGACTGTAATTATAGCATATATACAGTTTTTGTTTTGCTTTGCATAATTTTATTCAGGTAATCTTTACATTTATATTCCTCAAACCGATTATATTCCACTGATATGATACACCATACCCTATGTGAACATTTTCCTATTGTTAAATACCTAGACTATTACCCATGATTAGAGAAAACTAAAATGAATTTTTTCATGTTTATAGATTCCTTCCTTCTTTTAAATTAATTCCTCAGAATAAATTCCTGAAAGCAGGATTGGTGAGTGAAATGAAGTAAACAGTTTTATAGCTTGATAGGTTGATATGCACTGCCAAAACATTTTCCAAAAACCCCGAAGCAACATCCAGTGCCAGGAGCAAAGCACAAATGTTTTAACACAATTTCATCAGCTCTAGGTTTGGGTTCTATTATCTTTAAATTTTTATTATTATAAAAGCTACAAAATGATACTTCATTGCTGCTCTGGTGTGCATTCCTATTATTACCTCGATAAAACATTTCTTATATGCTCAACTATTAATTTTCTCTCATATAAACTGCCTGTTCATAGGCTCTCCTCTTTTGGACTTTATGCTTAGAAATGCAAACATGTTATTTGTAGTCATACAGCTTTGGGCCTTTTGCCATATGTAATGCAATTATTTTCCCCAAACTATTCTTGCTCTTTTGGGGGGGTATGTTAATTCTCAATTTAGACAACATCAACTTCCATATATGTAACTATGTCCGTCCTTTTCTTCCTAGGTCACTATGACAGCCAACCTTCCAAGCTGGCCTCCAGTCATTCTCACCTTCTGGCAGTCACATCCGCATGTAGTTCCCTCCCCCATTGAATAGGGTTGATCTGTGTGATCAATAGGATATTGCTGAAATGACGGAGTGTGACTTCTAAGGCTAGGTTGTAAAATATATTGCAGATTCTATCTTGTTTTCTCTTAGATACTTGCTCAGGGGAAGCCAGCTGCCACGCCTTTCCTATGAAAAGGATTACATGGCAAAGAACTGAGGCTTCTTGTCAACAGGCAGCAACATCAACTTGCCATCCAGGTAAGTGAGCCACCATGGAAGCCTTCAGTTGACTTCAGCACCACTTAAAACCTTGACTGCAACCTCATGACAGACAGAAAGTAAAAACCACCCAGATAAGCCACTCCCAAACTCTAGACCCACACACACAGTATGAAATAAAAAAAGTTTGTCATCACTTTAAGCTGCTAAGTTTTGAAGTAATTTATGTCTGCAGCAATAAATAATAGCTATAAATAGTTATTTATTCTACTATTCTTAAGTTCTATTTCTTAAAAAGTTACCTCTCCAGTACAGTTTTCAAGTTGTGCTCTTCCCTAGCTTAGAGACTGAGAGACCACCTCAAGTATAATGCTTCTCAGAAGGGAAGGCTATAACATAACACCCCTCCCCTTCATTTCATTCCCACCTCACCTAAAACAGATTCGTTTTTATGTTTTATATATTTGAGTTCCCCATAAGATTTCATTTGGGGAAAGAATTCCACTATGAAAATAGTTTGGCCATCACTGCATTGCATGGCATGCCATTATATTTTTATGTAATCTTTCATAATTTTATGGTTTATATTTAATTGTGAAATCCATCCAGAGTTCATTTTGGTTTGTGATATTATGCTGGATATGGTCATCTAGCACTCAAGACCTAGTCCCATCTTCTTCTAATGCCTTCTATATACAAAAACAAAAAAGCTAAAAACTACGCTTCCTAGGCTCTAGACGTGAATTAAGTTCTACCAACTAGATGTGTTTGAGGGATATCTGAAAGGCAGAAATGAAGTAAAGATCACCTTCCTCCTAGTACTGTTTCCTAATGATCAGCAAAATCATGAAAACAGCAGTATCTCCTCTTCTCCTTCATAGCTATCCAGAGGCCAAATCCAGCATCTTAACCGTTCTACATGTTGGCCTCCAGCTTCCACCTCCTAGGGATGGAAGCAGACACTGACTTCCCTGGTGGCTCAGCACTGTGCAATACTCCAGGAATCAGTCCTTAAAGCCCACCCTGGAGCTTGCCTCTTTGGCCCTTCCAACAACTTCACAAACACCTAATTCCAGGATTAAATTCCTTTTCTCTTGAAGCATCTAGTGTGGCTTCTGTTCTCTGGACTAAATCCTGATTGTTACTGATATAAAACACTGAAATTTAAGCCAATGATCAAAGACAATGATGCTTTGCTAAGGCCTTCCTGTAAGGTCTTGAGAGTTCTTAAATATGGAGCAAGAACATCTCTGGTACTGACAAATTAGGAGACTCTGCCAAGTCCTTCTTGGGGCACAGAATTTCACATTGCTCACTAGATTGCAGTGTCAACACTTTATTTCCGAGTGTGACATACGTAAGTTTCCACCAAGAAAAGCAAATCTGTTATCATCCTGGTTCTATTCATAAAGCCTGAGGCATAAATCAGGAAAGATAAGTAGTGATTATTAAAGAAACCAGCAATAATTTCAAACTGATTGTGGTGACTTAAGCAGATGTTCAATAGTGAAATATAAAGATCAACGGGAAAAAATAAACCCACAGAAAGTTTTTTATTAAAAAACTAAAACCTGATTTAAATTAACTGAATTAAACATTTCAACTGTGCATTCAAATCCCTCCCTAGGATAGAAGCTCATTTCAGTTACCTAAAAGCAGGACAGAATTAAAATTTAATTTCATAAGGAGCAAGGATACAAACTCTTGCTTTGACAACATGGTTTAGAAGAAGAATGGGGGGAAATCACATACCACTGTTGCCACAGTCGGCACAGGAGATGAGTTCTTCTGGCTTCTTTTCTCGGTTTTGTTCTTTTGTACCAAGACAGAAACTACAGATGGGGATTGGTTCAGCAACCGGCTGTAAAAAAAACCATAATTCATTCAGGTACTAACACTTTTCTTCTAGTATCAATATAAAGACATTAAGATTATAGTTCTAAATTCCTGTGAGAGTTACGTGTAACTTTAGGACAACTGTATCTTTACCCTAAAATTCCAACTGAATAGGTGAGTTTTTACAAAGCCTGTTTTGGCTGGGCCTTTACAACTGGTCCTTGTGGTGACCAATTAGAAACTTTACTTCAAAAAGTCATGTTTGTCACTTATAAACTACATGATACAAAGCAAATCCTTCACCTAAAATTTAAACATTCACTGAATTAAGTGCAAAACGACATAGTATCAGCACTGAAGAGGCATGTGATCCAGCAGAAGAGCAGTAATGTATACAAATAAAGTAAGGCAGAAGACATAAAGTGCTGTAAGAAAGAAACAGCAAGTGCTCTGTAGCAGTGGGAGAGATAAATTCCAACTGTGGTTTGGAGGAAGGGAAGAGTTAAAAGGGGAAAACATGTATCTCGTGCCAATACTATGTTATGGGATCTTTAAGAAGCTCATCCAAGGACAACAGACTGTAAGTTTTAGAAGCAGGTTTAAACCTAGGTGTCCATGTTCATCAACAGCACTGTTGCCCCCTAGAAGTGATGGAGAGAACAACAACATAGGTAGTATAAACAGGAACAACTGAGGTGTTCAGTCTGCTGAGGCCAGTGCTTCAAAGTACACGGTTTCTGTGATAAGGGAGGAAAAAGAAGCAGCTAGATCAGTTTGTCAAGACTACCACTGAATGTGTTGTGAAGAAGCTAAACTTTCAAATTCATCAAAATGTATATATTAAATATGTGCTATTTTTTCATATATCAACCATATACCAATAAAGCTTAAAAAATAAAAATTTCTGATTAAAAAAAAAGTTGAACTTTTTCTTGCAGGCCAAAAAGAGCAATAGAAAGTTACTGAACCAGGAGATAACCACCTATATTTGAGAAAAATAATTTCAGTAGCAATACCAAAGACAAATGAAGGGAAAGCCTAAAGACAGGTAAAGCAAACAGTGATTGCAATAGTGTAATGAAGACAAGATGAGAACCTGAATCGAAGCCAGGAAATGGAATGGAAGAAACAGCAACGGGCTTAGAAACCAACTAGTTGTGGGAGTAATATAAAAGAAAATGAGTTAAACATGACCAGTGTAACTGAGGACGGTGATGTCCTCAACCGTGAAAACTAAGTCATTCTAAGGAAGGTTAGAAGGAAAGCAATGAGATGACGAGTTCAATTTTACATGTGTTTAACGGAGGCATTCTCAGTCGGCGCCCAACTATTCTTGCTAGGCATTGCGCAGGATGGCAACAGAAAGGCCTCAAGATGCTTTTAGTCTACTGGGGAGAACAGAAAAAGTACAATAAAATGTTTGTAGGTACCACGATGGAACTACAACAGTGGGAAACAGGCTGGCTGCTCAGCTCAGTTGGTTAGAGCATGGTACGATAACACCAAGGTCAAGGGTTTGGATCCCTGGAATGGCCAGCTGTAAAAACAAAAAAAAACCCAAACCCAAAACAAAACAAAACAACAATGGGAAACAAAAAAAAAAAAGGAAATAATCAAGTAGAGGAAAGGGGTGTCAGTGAAAAGCTTCACAAAAGTACTATTTGACTTAAGTTCTTATAGAAGTACTTGACAGGCAGGCCCACTACATGGGAGTGTTCAAAAGGTAAAAAATCTGGCCGGCCCAGTGGCGCACTGGATAGTGCGCCGCTTGGGAAGTGCAGCGGCGCTCCCGCCCAAGGGTTCGGATCCCACATACAGACCGGTTCCCACTCACTGGCTGAGCGAGGCGCAGGAGCAACGCCGAGGGTTGCAATCCCGTTGCTGGTCCCCGGTCCGGTACGGGGGCAACACTGAGGGTTGCGATCCGTTGCCGGACACGGAAAAAGACAAAAGACAAAAAAAAAAAAGGTAAAAAATCTAAAACTGGATTTGGGAGGAGGGATATGAGCTTAGTTTGGGACTTACTGAGCTTCAAATGCTTATGGAGCAGCCATGTTGCAATGCTCATGGACACTATGACACAGGATCTGGAGTCTGTGAGAGAGATTTGTCTGGAGATAAAAATCTAGAAGACATATACATATAAAATGGCATTAAAACCATCAGATTTGCTGAGTTTTCCCATGAAGAACAGGTGGAAAGAAGATAGCTAAAGTCAGAACACCAACGCTTAAGTGGCCGGTAGAGGAAAAGCCTGAAAAGGAAACAGATCAATGAGAGAGTTGAGTGGAATATCACATCAAAGAGTTCAACACAAACAAGCTGAGAGCAGTGCTTAGCCAAGAGATTAAATGAGAAATGAACAGCTAGACACTGTCTTCATAATTCAGGCTATGGTGAAGACTACCACATCCTTTCCTCCAAGAAGGAATGCAAAAAAAGAACTGGAGAATAAAGTCAGGAAGGATTTCATCCAGGAGTGAAAACCTGAAGTAAACTCTATAGAAGGCCTAGAAAGAAAGTAGAAGACAGGTCATGAGATTTGAGCATTATGCTACAGCCTCTAAAGTACCACTGGAGGATTTTAAGCAGAGGATTGGTATGACCAAGACTTAAATCTTGGAAAACTCATTCTGTAAGCAGTAAAAAATGGATTGGAAGGCAACAAGGGCCTGTATTAAGACAATGGCTAAAGGAATGTTGAAAAGAAAAGAAATAAGAGATATTTAAAAGATAAAACTGGGCCGAGCCTGTGGCGCACTCGGGAGAGTGCAGCGCTGGGAGCGCAGCAGCGCTCCCGCCGCGGGTTCGGATCCTATATGGGGATGGCCGGTCACTGCTCACTGGCTGAGCGCAGTGCGGCTGATCTCAAAAAAAAAGATAAAACTAATGGCTAACTGACTTGGGGCACAAAGCACAGTAAGGAAGATGGATGACTAGGAAGACAACATCGAGAAAATGAAAAAGCAGGCCACAGAATGTAAGTTATTAACAATATATTTAAACAACAATGTAAGCTATTAACAATATATTTAAACAACAAATGGCTCACATCCAGAATACATAAAGAACTCCTACATTAAAGAAGATGTAGACAACTCAAGAGAACAGATGGCAAATACTTTCACGGGTATTTCCTCACAGAAAATACATGAATAACACACATAGAACATGTGATATAAGAAAAGATGCTCAACTTCATTAGTCATCAAGGAAACAGACCTTCAAGAATGGTTAAAATTGCTTCTGGTCAAGAAGGCAGAATAGTGGTTCCCAGCATCACTCTCTTCCACAAATCAACCAATTTACAACTATTAAAAAGCAACGACAGCCAAGCTGGGACCTCTAGAGCTCAGGGGAGGAGGAGGAGAGCATGAAGGTGGAAGAAGCCACGATGAGAGAAAGAAAGAACCGCTCCAACTGTCTCAAGCCCCGATCGCTTCAAGGCTGGCCCTGTTGAGCACATGGAGCAGGAGCTGGCAAAAGCTGCAGCTGTGCCCTTCAGATGGAGTTGCCTTGAGCCTGCAGGGAAGAAGAGGGCCTTGGTGGCCCTCAGGCCAGCAAGACTATTAATAGGGTTCCCGTGGACCCACATCAGAGGAGCCACAACAACTGAAAAAAAGGAGCCATTGAGAGGTTGGTGGATCATCCCAAGGGACCAGCGCATGGCCTGCCCCATGGGAAGTGTTTGGAGCATGGGCAGTAGAGGAGATGGGCCCACTAGGAGAACACCAGGGCACAGCAAGCACAGATGATCTGCCCCTCAATCAGCGTAGGACCACTCAGGGGAGACTGGTCAGGAATATAGAACTGCAGGGGGTGCAGTTTGCTTAAAAGACTCAGGCCCAGCCAGAGTTCCTACACAACCCTGGTGTACACAAGACTCAGAAGTACCTATAAAGTCAACTATTAAAACCTGAGCTGCACAAAAAGCCTTCCCCAGGGAATCAGAAGCAAAGCAACAATTTAGCTTAACCACATGGCTCAAGTACTGGTCCCCATAGGAAGTTCCCCCATTTTAGAAGTAAGCAAAGGACAATAAATTAGTTCCAGTACAGAGTTTAAGTGGTAGGAACAGCAAATAATCCAACACAGAACTGGAAGAAAAATACCCACAGACCAGAGGCAAAGTTTGATATTAACTAGTGAAGGTCTCACATCACCAAAGAACACCTATAAAACCTAGAAGGACCAGAAGTCCCCTGGGCTACCAAGCTAGGGAGGGAGGAGGGCTGGGGGTCTTGGCCACACCCCTCAACACCTGCAACCTGCCCAGTGAGGACCACCAAGCAGCCGCAGGAGGCACCCAAGGCTCCCAAGTTGGGGTGGTGAGGGGATGGGGGCGAGGGCTCCACCCACACCCCTCTAACGTCTGCACCAAGCCTGGCAATGACCAGGCAGGCCATTGCTGGAGGACCCCTGGGCTCCCATGCAGGAGTGAGGGGGGTGCTATGGACCTCAGCCCTGCCCCTCCTCCTTCCTCCTTCTCCCACTCTGTTTCCTTCCCCTTTCTCCTCTCCCCCTTCCCCCACAAATGCTCCGCAATATCATCACAGAATGTAAAAAAATTAATTTTTTAAAAAAGGAATGGTTAAAATTATGAAGACCAGCAATATTGCATTGATAAGAAAGTGGAATAACTCATACACTGCTGACAGGAATATAAATATAAATTGCCAAACTATTTTGAAAGCTATTTGACATTATCTACTAAAATTGCACATATGCATACCATATGATCCAGCACTTCCACTCCTAGCTATGTACTCAACTCAAGTACATACATACATATAACAATAAAACACACACAAAAATGTTCAGAGCAGCATTATTCATAATAATAACTTTTACTCAAACAATAATTATCCAAATAGTTAGCTGTGGTTGAGCAAATTGTGCTATATCCATAAAGTAAAATATGAAACAGTGATGAAAACAAACGAATTATAGTCCAGAACATGGATGAAGTCCAGAACAATACTGAATGAAAGAACAGACATAAAAGGATACATACTTATGATTTTA